TGATCTTGAATGCTAATCCATGGGAAAAACATATTTATATAAAATAGTTGATGTTAGGTTTCAATTCAAAGATGCATTCATGATCTTATGGTTTGCAGTTGCACACTTTGTACTAGTTGGGAGATACAGACTTAAAGTGACAATTTATATGTTTAATATTTTATTTAATCCTCTGAAATTTTCATATATTTCAGACACCCAAAATCTGGTTCATTCTTAAGAGGGAAGAAGTTAGATCTGGGAATAAATTGCTTTGAAGCTATTGTGGATCGATATGGTAAACAAGAGGACCATAATGCTGGTGTTATAACCGAGGAGCTTTTTGTTGTTGGAAGTAATCAGAAGAAAACTGTGGTAGAAATGGTTGGAGCCAAGAAAGTCAATGAACAGCAAAGGTTTGTGGGAAACCAAAACAAAAACATGTATTGTGAATTAGTTCTGTAAATAACTGAATCAAAATATTTGAGGATTCAATGGGGTTAGACTGTCACTTTAATTTGTAATAATTGCGTTTTTGCCAAAAAGTTACATCTGTTCAATATATTATAATTTTCAATGTTATTGTGTTCATTTTCTTTATGAAAGGCCTAAAAAGGTTTACTACAGGTATAAATAATAATATTTTGGTTTTGTGTTTTCAGTAAACTGGATGCTCTTCAAGAAGTAGTGCTGAGGGGATGTTTGGTGTACGGTGTAGGGGACAGCTCAGGTAAACTGAGAAAGTGTACACCCAACATACAGGAGCTGGACTTATCTCTTAATCTCATCCCATCATGGCATAGACTAGCAGACATCTGTAAATGTCTACCAAATCTCACAGACTTAAATGCAAGGTGAAAAGGGACTGGGATAAAAGAAGCTGATTTAGATCAAAATGACAGAGAAATAATTTGTTCGACTATTATACATGTATGTATATTGTACAATGAAAAGTTATTTTGCAATTTGTTAAATATTAACATTTAAACAGTTATACTTTTCCTATTAAAGTATTGGATTTTAAAGTTAATATGACTACTAAGTGAAAAAATATTCACAAACCTTAAACTTATTAATTAATTTAAATATAAACCCATTTTACAGTGATAATCAATTGGAAATGCCTAAAGACATATTGGAGTGCAGTGATTGTTTCCAGAGTGTGAAAATATTGAAACTAAACAGAGTAAACTACATCTGGCAACAGGTAAAATTTTCCCACAAAACCCTTTCAAGTTTTCTGTGTGTAATTTGTGGTAAGCATTTTTTTTATAACGATAAGAGACAAAATGTACAATAATACCTCATTGGGTAAAATGGTCAGACATAATCTAGTTTTGATGTGTCTTGTCTGTCTGCGTTTTAAAAAATAATCATCCACTCAACACAGTTACATGTTTGATTTGTTCTTCACTTCTTGTGATATTTTTATCATTTTCCTTAATAAAGATATTTGTGATTTTGCCTGAACTAGTTCTTGGAGTGCAGCAGAGCTTTTCCTCGCCTGGAGCAGCTACATGTTTGTTTTAATGGCTTAACATCAGTCCACAATCCAGGGAATCACTTGCAAAATGTTCACCTCCTAAATCTGGAATCAAACAGTTTACAGTCCTGGGAACATATTCTACAGCTAGATGGGTGTCCCAGGTAAAGAAAGCTTTATTTATTCAAAAGATGTACACACCAGTTATTCCTGCTTATATAATTAAACATTTAAACAACTTTTATTTTCAGATTAGAGAGCCTTATTCTGAATAGTAATAAAATTGAGTCCATCATTTTCCCTGATGCCAACTTAGGAAGTAAAACCAAGTTTTTTCCAAACTTGAAACACATTTACATCAACAACAATGAAATTTCACAGGTATAACTGATTGAACATCAGAATATTCAAAAACTTTACAGACTTAGTCACTCATGTAAAAAATATGTGTTGAATTTAAAAATGTTTATTCATACGTTTTTAATAGTGGAGTTGCATAAATGAACTGGACAAGTTGAAGAGATTTGAAGACTTACAGATTAACGGAAATCCTATCCAGGATACAGCCTCTCCAGAAACTGTCCGTCAGCTCATCATTGCCAAGGTCGCCAACTTAAAAAAATGCCAGAGAACAGAGGTACATTTTACAGATTTCAAATTGCGTAGAGGTTCCGTTAATGCCTTTAATGCTATTGAAAATAATTTTAAAAATAATAAGAAAATTTCAATAAAACCAACTTACTTCAATTATCATTGTTTGTACATGCATACTTTGCAATTTAGAATTAGATCAGTCAAACACGAAAAATAGAAATAGCATAGCACGTACCTAATTTATTGTTAATTTGATAAATATTACCTTGTAACCGATTATTACATCCACTGTTTATGCATTACCTGCAATTATTGTGAGTCAGCTATTTGAAAATTTACACTCACAGATTGCTGTTACAATTATTAAAGACATAAACAATCCTGCAAAGTTTTTGACATTAAAATAATAAATGATTTATAGAAATAATTTTATATTTGAAGAATCCTAGACATAGTTGTACATGTAAGATGACAGGCATAAGTTTTGATGCATTATTATATTTCCCAGGTGACAGACGAGGAGAGAAGAGGAGCTGAAATAGATTATCTGAAGAGGTTTGGTCCAGACTGGCTGAAGTCCGGGGGGCACCAGGATCCCTCACAGAATAACCCCAGCCAGGACTTCCTGTCACAGCATCCAAGATTTCAACATTTTGTCCAAGGTATAACCAACATTCTCATTCCAGAACCCCAATTCAATCAGCAACTTTAGATAAAAATAAGAAATGTGTACATGTATTTTCTTGAATACGAGATTCATAGATTTCCAGTTTTAACCTAGCTAGTACTTGTATATTTTTCCAAGGTTTTTCATGGACAGGCTTAAATACTTTGTGCCCATGAGAGAGGGAATATGTGTGCTACTATGTAAAATGCTTTGACTTTGTTTATGATTTTAGTTTAATACTATAACAATAGTATCACACCCATCCATTCAATTAAAGCTTTGATTTTTCATATCAGACCTGCTTGTAATGTCTAGATGTAAATCAATATTTGTATTTGATTTCAGTTTATGGAGCTCCCGAAAGTTCTGAAATGAGTAAGAAGCCTCAGAAATTGAAGGACAGTTTAATTGGTATGTTAATGCTGTTTGTAAATGTTACAAATATAAGTAAATGGTTTTCATTTTAAGTAAATTGACAATTCTTGTTTCAAAAAGGTGGCTAGATACAATGTATATGTAGTTCAGATGATATTGCACTTGTCTAGTGCACAGGGTTTTAGTCTTAATGGTGGCAATTTCTTCCTAATTATTAGTTGTTGTGACCATGTCTTAGAAGTAACAGTTTAAATTCTGCCAAGTACATAAATGAGGTTTAAGTTGTCTTACTTTACCAAAATATTTGAGGGGAGGAATGTAGCTGTCTTGCGGATCATTCGTCTTTGGTACGTGTAAAATATGTAGCTTATATAGAGCATGTCTAGCGCATAGGGATCAAGGGTTTAATTCTGCACTAGCCCATCTCATTTCTCTTATTATGGTGGGGTTAGGGTTAGGAAATTTATTGTCAAATCAATTTAAATGGGCATTTCTTTTTTACAGAAATAAAAATTTTAAACCCAGATGATTCCAACATCAAAACTTTACAGAAAAAATTACCAGGTAATTCTTGTTGTCTATACATAATTATTTGAATTTTAGGTTCTGAGTTTTTGAAATAAATTTGAGCTTGATGTATGATCGATGTAGTGGCTGTCACACTTACTGTAATCTTTTAGTCACAATGACGGTACAGAAACTGAAGGCTCTAATTCAAAGATTGTACAAAGTGGACTCAGAAATCAAACTCTCATATGTCAGCAAGAAGGTAATGTTTTAGTTAAGTGAGAATAGATTAAAGTAAAGTTGGTAAACTCTTTGATACATGAGATATACAATGATACTTCTCAATTATGTGCAAAATGGGGAGATAATTTATTTTAAGATCTAAACAAATATACATATCACATAAATATATGTAACAGATACATGTATCTTCAAAAATAGTATAAGTATTCTGCAGAGAAAACTGATGTTATATCAAATTTAACTTTCTTTCTAATAGTACAAATTCAATTCATTAAAGATATTTTAAATTTCAATGAAATAACAGGACAATTAACACTGTATGCTACATGTAATATGTGGAAATGTTTTAGTTTCACCTTAATGAGTGTAATAACATGAAGTTAAATATTTATTTGTAGATGGAAGGTTGTGAAATAGACTTTGACAATGACCTTCGACCCCTGAACTATTTTTCCATCGAGGCAGGTGACATAGTGTATGCGCGATGGTCATGACAAAAAAATATTATTAATTAGGACTAGAACAATTTATTTATGGTTGACCCACTTCTTTATGCTGTGATACTACATGTTTATATGATAAAAAAAATAAAACAAGCAATCTTAATAGAATTTTATTGAAAAATCAAAAAAATATATTGTATAAAATATAAAAAATATATTCTTAAGAAAAACAGCAAAAATTGCCTCATAATTTATAAATTCAACCCTGGTTATTATGGACGGAAGATAATACAAAGTACATGTATCTACAGGATATTGTATTTTTACATATTAAATATTTACTGTTTTCATAGTAATATCTGTGTAAAATGTACTGGAATATATTGTTTCTCAAGTTATTTGTCTTGTTTCTAACATGCTTCCCACATTTTGAAAGTGTGCATGTTACATCAGAGATGCCTACATTTATGAAATGTATATGATCTTGTAAAATAGGTGATTCAACCTTAGACATGTACAAACCTTAAACTTTACTGTATAAAAGTTTCTATTACTGTCTAATTTTATTCTTCAACATGCACATGTAAATGAACTGTATAATAATGAAAAAAAAAACAAAGGTGTATTTCTTGGTATCTGATAATCAGATGAAGCTTTGTATAAGTACTTGCTTTTATATGTATTTACATACTTTAAAGTACATGTACTTCAGTATAAAAGCACCAAAAACAAAAAATGCAAGGTCTATTGCCTACATATATACCCAGTATTGTATATTATGCTACAGCCATCATGCTGCAACCATTATCTTGATAACTATATATTTTCTTGCAACTATAAACAATACTGAAGTTCAGTGCAAATTCATGTATTTGCTATTTGCTTACTCATGAAACAATGTACTAAATTCATCATCAACATAAGTTTTGGTGCAGTCGAATAGATCAACACATGGAAAATCCATAGGATTTGGAATTTCATCATACTGTGCAGACTTCATCTTGTGGAGATTAGCTGTCATTTCATATTTCTTGAGGGAAGCCTTGATGTGATATAAAAGGGGCATATGTGCCTTGATAGGCAAGGGATGTAACTCTCCTGGGTCAGAGGAAATATTAAAGATTAGGGGGTTCTCAAGAAGTGGTCCTGAACAGTCCGTCTCTGTTCCATTTCTGAGGAGAATTTTTAGGTTTCCTACAGTCACTGCCCCCACAGGTCCTGTATCACAGTAATGATAGAGCTGATCATGGAGAGAAGACGAGGGGAATAAACCGGGATTATCAAACACTGGGTATAAGCTTTTCCCATCCAGTAATCGATCATCCATTGTTTTCTCAATGTTGTAGTAATCCATTATGGTTGGATATATGTCTGTTAGTGAGGCTACTATATTTGTTTCTGAGTTAGATTTTATTTTTCCGGGTAGTCTCATTATTGCAGGAATTCGTAAACCGCCCTCCAAATTGGAACCCTTTTCTCCTCGTAACTTTATGGTCATTTTATTTGCTTTAAAAACGTTGGATCCATGATGATGAAGAGGAAGTGGAAGCCTAGTCACTGGATGAGTAAATGATTGAGCATTGTCAGAAACAAAAATTACCAGGGTATTGTTTTTCAGGTTGTTTTTTTCTAAAGCTTGCAAAACCTTTCCAATACTCCAATCAAGTTCAACTACTGAGTCATAATAGGGAGACATGGTCTTGTTCTGGAATGGGGATGATCTAAGATGTGGAAACTTTGGCTGAAGAAAGGACATTACAAACAGAAAAGGCACATTATTTTTGGCTCTATAATTGAAAAAATGTATAGCATTCTTTATCAATCTAAGTGACAATACATCTTCTGTGTATGGTTGTTCCATGATAACATTATTTTCCATAAAAATACAGGCATTTGGATTAAATAGAGTCATCCAACAAAAGACACGAAGCAGTCCAATAGTGATCACTAGCATACAAAACAGAAGTATGCAAGTTCTCAATTTTATCACTGAATGAAACTTTGAAATCAAAATCATTGCAGTCAGACTGAGAAGTATTGGTGCAGAATCTGTTATTTTATGCCAGAAAAGATTAGAATCCGAAAAGTGATTTTGTTTAGAACAGCCCATACTGTGAGATCCAGGGGTGCCAAAGAAGGACAAGAATCCACTGGATGTAGGTAAGGAATCGGGTTGGAATCCTAGGCCCCATCTCCCGCTGTAGAAGGAGTTCATTTTATTTTCTATAAACATCCTCCCTATGTTCTTTTCCCCATGCTGCTGTAATAGACCTCCAGATTGGGAAGGACTCCAGAAGTCTGGCCACTTGTTAATGCCCTTAACAAGACCAAATTTCCTAGGCTCCTGACCTACAAAATGGATTATACACCACGAATTATACATGTAATTTACATTTAATGATTTAACATATGTTTACATGCAATACATTAACGTGTAAAAATAATTTAACTTTGCCCTTAGGAGTATAAAAAAGACACATATGTTTAGACGTCAATTATTCAATAAAGCCTTTATTATTCTGCTTCTTTTCAGTAAAACAAAAGCTACATGTACTACAGTAATCTTTTAATTTTAATTAAGTTTTATTTTGAACATAATGAAGATATTTAAATAACTAAATAAGTATACCCGTTAGGATTGCAGACATGCTTCCTGAATCTGATGGAAACGAATATATTCTGTTGAACTTTAATCCCTCTGAGGCAAGTAAATCAAGATTTGGGGTTTTAATATTTTTGTTTCCATAGCAACTTAAGTCTCCAATTCCTAAATCGTCAGCTATTATTAATAAAACATTGAGTTTGGGCTGATGTTTATTAACTGTTGTTGTGTTCGTAACTTTTTGAATTGTAGATAAAAATAACAAAAACCAAAGTAGACGCTTCATCCCTGAAAGAAGTCGATCAAGCAAGTACACGTTGGTGTTAAAATGAAAGAGGATGTTTACATGTTTTTACGCGATAACGAGCCCGATGTGTTTACGAAAAAATATCAAAATTTTTCATCTATAGATCGTTATTTCTATAGAGAAATAATACTATACAGAACAAATTATCTGAGGCCTGAGAAAAAAATTACATAAAAACTAAAGGGAAAAAAAGAAGAAAATATTGTCAAATTCGAAAATTCTATTTCTTGTGTGGGAAGGGGAGAGTGGTGAAGGAGGGGTGGGGGTAGTCTGAAAAATCTGACGTTTTCCTGGCTTTTTGGCGATTTTGATATTTACATGCCAGGAAAACGTCAGAACCGGCGCCATTACGTAAACTGGAAATTTCGCCGTCTTCAACTGGAGTTGATTTTTAGCTCACCTCAACGAAGTTGGGGGGAGCTTATGTGATACCCTCGGCGTCGGTGTCGGCGTCCCGGGTTAAGGTTAAGTTTTTTGGAGCAGTTTTCTTTTTAAGTACTTCTGTGTCCTATATTGATTAGACATGCATGGAAGATGTTTCTAGTGTGTTTCATTGTACCAGTCAAAGTTTCAGATGCTGCAATTTCAGCAAAGGAATGGCCAGGTTAATGTTTTTGGTGCAGGTTATTTTTGGTGCAGGTCTCATTTCCGAGTAACTATAAGCCCTATGTTGGCCAAACTTACATGGATGGTACATCTTAGGAATAGGATGCATACTACCAGACTTGCTTCGGATGCTGAATCTGACCTACATTTTCCGGTTGAGTGAACAGGTTAAAGTTTTTGGTGCATGAAGTTAAATATTTATTTGTAGATGGAGGTTTCATTTCCAAGTTTCTATGAGCCCTATAATGACCAAACTTGCATGGATGGTACATCTTTGGATGCATACAACCAGTCTTGCTTCGGATGCTGAATCTTACCTACATTTTCCGTTTGAGTGAACAGGTTAAAGTTTTTGGTGCAGGTTTCATTTCCAAGTTACTATGAGCATGATGAGCCCTATAATGACCAAACTTGCATGGATGGTACATCTTAGGATGCATATTACAAGACTTGCTTCGGATGCTGAATCTGACCTACATTTTCCGGTTGAGTGAACAGGTTAAAATTTTTGGTGCAGGTTTCATTTCCAAGGTACTATGAACCCTATAATGAATAAACTTGCTTGGATGGTACATCTTTGGATGCATACTACCAGACTTGCTTCGGATGCTGAATCTGACCTACATTTTCTGGACGAGTAAACAGGTTAAAGTTTACGGTGCAGGATTCATTTCCAAGTAACTTTGAGTCCTATACTGACCAAACTTGCATGGATGGTACATCTAAGGGTGCATTCTACTAGGCTGGCTTCAGAAGCTGAATCTGACCTACATTTTCTGGATTAGTGAAAAGGTTAGTTTTTTATACAGGTTTCATTTCCAAGTAACTTTGAGCTCTATGTTGAACAAACTTGCATGGATGATACATCTTAGGATGCACACTAATGGACTTGTTTCAGATGCTGAATTAATAGACCTCGTAAAAGTTATGGGTGCAGGTCTATCACCAAGAAACTATAAGGCTTATATAAACCAAAGTTGCACAAATGATGCATCAAGGGATGAAATCTCTCAATCTTGCTTCAGATGCTGGATTTTAGATACATTTTCATGATGAAGAACTAGTTTTAAGTTTTTATATAGGTCTATTCCAAAGTATCAAAATTGCATAAATTTTGCATTTTTGGATGTACACTTTTTGTTGGTTAATTGTGTGACTTAATTTGCCTTACTTAAAGACAACATTCGTTGAGGTGAGCTCTGTAATCTCTGATTACCTATGTTTGATACTTGTGAACAGACCTAAACGCTGAAATTAGAATTTATCAAAAGCACAATGCCTCTACTACTCACCAATATCGATGAAAAGAAAATATCACTCCACATTTCGTAACAGGACATGCAAGATTTTAAAATGCACGATATGAAGACAAATCTCGACAGTGTGATAAATCCTTTTTCAACGGATTATTTATTTCATAAATGAACCATAAAAAATAAAATGGTAAGTTCTTTAAGTATTGTACTATTGATAACTTTTGACTTTGAAATTTAATTCAGTTCGCAAGTACCTAAAATCAACTCGAGAATGCCGCCTCCGGTTGGAGGCGGCGATTTCCCAGTTTACGTAATGGCGCGGTTCTGACGTTTTCCTGGCATGTAAAATACCAAAATCTTAAAAAAGCCAGGAAAACGTCAGATTTTTCGGACTAGGGTGGGGGTTGGGGGATAAGTTCCAACTTCATTCAGAGCCAAATTGTAATCGTTATTTTCCTTAATTACCATATTTTTCTTTATTTAAACAAAAACGAGGCAAGTGAGGTAAAAAGTAACATATTTGGAAAGGGGGGCAGTCACCCTACTCAGTCTTTTCTTGTATCTCCACCTTTACATTTGACTTGCATTTGAGAAACGTTAACCCTTGCCGTAAGCCGACAAACAGGGGCATCAGAGATTAACAAACATATCTTGGTTTAATTTATATACACCCTTGTAAAAATTTGAAAGTTTTAAGTGGCTAGATCCTACGCCCGGGGGTCCAATGGCTGATTAAAAGGGGGGGGGGGCGCACTCGCCCCCCCCCCAAAAAATTGTCAAAGTTAGCGTTAATCACAGTTTCGTCTAGAATATGTAACAAGAGGCCCATGGGCCTTATGGGTCACCGGAGCATCATGCAACAATTTGAAATGATTGATTTTGGTTCATGTTTTAAGCTAGATGCTATGGCATTCACAATATTGAAAGAGGCATCATTCACACAAAGATTGCCCATGACCCAAGGGTGTGTCATGACCTTGACCGAAGGTCACTTGAGGAAGTTCAAGGTCACTGGAAGAAAAAGTTCATAATTCGTGTCCGGTCCATATCTTTCTTATTGATAAACTTGGTAGGTTCTCATTTCACGCAAAGATTGTCCATGACCCAAGGTCATTTGGGGAAGTTCAAGGTCACTGGAAGAAAATTTTCATAATTTGTGTCCGGTCCATATCTTTCTTATGGATAAATTTGGTAGGTTCTCAATTCACACAAAGATTGCCCTTGACCCAAGGGTGTGTCAAGACCTTGACCCAAGTTCATTTGGGGAAGTTCAAGGTCACTGGAAGAAAAAGTTCATAATTCGTGTCCGGTCTACATCTTTTTTATGGATAAACTTGGTAGGTTTTCATTCTACACAAGGATTGCCCATGACCCAAGGGTGTGTCATGACCTTGACCCAAGGTCATTTGGGGAAGTTCAAGGTCACTGGAAGAAAAAGTTCATAATTCGTGTCCGGTCTACATCTTTTTTATGGATAAACTTGGTAGGTTTTCATTCTACACAAGGATTGCCCATGACCCAAGGGTGTGTCATGACCTTGACTCAAGGTCATTTGGGGAAGTTCAAGGTCACTGGAAGAAAAAGTTCATTAATTCATGTCCAGTCCATATCTTTCTTATTGATAAACTTGGTAGGTTCTCATTCTACACAAGGATTGCCCATGACCCAAGGGTGTGACATGACCTTGACCCAAGGTCATTTGGGGAAGTTCAAGGTCACTGGAAGAAAAAGTTCATAATTCATATCCAGTCCATATCTTTCTTATTGATAAACTTGGTAGGTTCTCATTTCACACAAAGATTGCCCATGACCCAAGGGTATGTCATGACCTTGACCCAAGGTCATTTGGGGAATTTCAAGCTCACTGGAAGAAAAATTTCTTAATTCATGTGTGATACATATCTTTATTATGGAAAAACTTACTTCTGAAAAAACACAGCGGGGGGTATTTTGTCCCGTTTGGACAGTTCTAGTTTAATATCCAGGAGCAGAGAAGATTTTAAAAGAAATAATGCATTTTCACTGTATAATCAATATAGCCTCGCTAAACCTTTGACCCTGGGACCATGAATTTCATAATTTTGGTAGAGGACTCAATGCTCATTGCATTCAAGCCAACAGTTTGACTACTTGATGTCCAGAAACAAAGAAGAAGATTTTTAAAGATTTTATTAATTTTAGTGGTTTTGGCTCCACCCCTCCGGCCCCAGGGGGGTAGGGAGCATAAAATTCATAATTTTTGTTCCCCTTCACCCATAGATACTGTATACCAAATTTGGTTAAAATTGGTTCAGTAGTTCCAGATAAGCTGAAAATGTTCAAATGTTAACACACGACGCCGGACGAAAACGGATAGCAATAGGTCACCTGATCATGAGTGACTCAGGTGACCTAAAAATATCTACAGGATAGACCTATAGCTCATTTTTACCCTAAACAAGAGGTCCATGGGCCACATCGCTCACCTGAGTACCTTGGGTAATGCAGTTCTTTACCAGACTTCCCCTCTTGCTATACATATCGCGCCCCCTACCTCCTTCCCTTTTATGATTTTAATACTTTAGAATCTACACTACCCACTTCCACAACGCAGCTTTCCTGGCCTAGTGGTTCTTGAGAAGAAGATTCTTAAAAGATTTTTCCTAAATATATTTATTTAAAACTTGGATTCCCTATTGTGGCCCCGCCCTACCCCCAGGGTCATGATTTTAACAATTTATAATCTACACTACCCAAGGATGCTTCCACATAAGTCTCAGCTTTCCTGGCCCAATGGTTCTTGAGAAGAAGATTTTTAAAGATTTCTTTTATATCTTTCTATGTAAAACTTGGATTCCCTATTGTGGCCCCGCCCTACCCCCGGGGGTCATTTTTCTAACAATTTAATATTTACACTACCCCAGGATGCTTCCACATAAGTTTCAGCTTTCCTGGCCCAGTGGTTCTTGAGAAGATTTTTAAAGATTTGTTCTATATATATATATATACGTAAAACTTGGATTCCCTATTGTGGCCCCACCCTTACCCCGGGGATCATGATTTTAACAATTTAATATCTACACTACCCCAGGATACTTCCATATAAGTTTCAACTTTTCTGGCCCAGTAGTTCTTGAGAAGATTTTTTAATGACCCCACCCTATTTTTGTCTTTTCTTG